GCAAAAATAAAACATAGCAGCGATGGCGGAAAATAGCAGATGATCGCTTTTGATCACGAAGGAAGCACTCAAGAAGACAATACTAACCGCTGCAAAGTCTTTTTTTTTTTTTTTTCTGACAGTGACGACGTAGTGTTTTCGGAGGTGACTTCACCGGCTCCACTTGCTCATCTTCCTTTTGGGCTGTATATTAAGACCAAAATTACTTTCTAAATTTAGTTGGACATCAAAAAAAATTTTTTTTTTTAATAATCAGCGCGGTCGCCGTAAGTCTAGTACAGGTGTCCTTAACTAAACGTATATGTTCCAAGCATCACAATTTGCACCGATTAAGTTTTGCGGATATTTAGAATTCACTTTGACACCGCGTAGCGGTACAGCATAGAAGGCTTTCTCAACAGTGATATGTAACTTAAGTTTGCGTTGACGCCAGTATGATCACAAGGTCACAAAAATCACTTCCAAACCGCTATAGGAATTCTCTTGGGAAGGGGTTGGGGTTGGGGTTGTTGACCCATTATCCCGCTTCTGGAACGCGAGTTCTGACGTCATCAAGTAAGCGCGAGTAAGTTTTGAAACGCTGCGGTACGAAACCTTTCCCCCAGAGTCGGATCGAGTACATTTTTTAACTCAGCCCTAGTAAGAGCACTTCCCGAAGCAGGCTCGGAGTTCTTCGGCTGTCAGCCTTCCAAAGCGGCGAAGCCCGAGCGTCGAGGCGCGAAGGCGTGAGGAGTGAGTTAGGCGGCGCTCTCGAGGGGTGCATGAATAAAAATTCAAATTTGAATATCAATCTGAATGGCCTCGCTGGGACTCTGGAGTGCGTCGCGGGGAGCGAGAGGGGGGCCCAGGCAGAAAGAGCCGTCGTTGTGAGCGCTATTGTTCGGTTTCCGACATGGGGCAGAGGTCCCCGGCTACGTCAGGAGGGAAGGGGAGCCTCGCGTCGGCAGCCCTCGAAGCCTAATCGTCGCGCTGAAAGGGACCAGACTTCCGATCGTGTCCCGCTGGTGCCTGCGGTGAGCGGCCTGCGGTTTTATTTAGGTACAAGTCGGTGCGTAGAGGGACGTTTTAGAACGGCCGCGGCCATCGTTGGCGAAATCGGAGCCACTAGATAATGGGTTTTGGTATTGCGTAAGCGAGAGTTTGGCTTAGCGTTGAATGTTCCACACTGTGCGTGCGCGGAGCTCGAACTGCCATCTTGGATTGTCGCATGGCGACGACGCGCAAGCGCAGTGGAGCATGCAACGCTAACGCAAATCAAAGAGAAAACTTCCAAATCGCTGTAGGCAATTTCTTGGGGAGGGAGAAGAGGTGGGGGTTGACTGATTATATACATGAAATCTTCAAAACTTTCACCGCTTTACAAGCGTTATCCTCTCATTATACGCACACTGTAGGGAAAAACAAATGACCTCGACATCATCTACCGCGTTCGAACATCTTCAGCCTTTAACGTAAAAATACGGAGTTCCCTCCAACGTCGAGGACGAAGGTGCGGAGAAGCTGCTGTTTACGCTCGAACTCTTGTAATAACGACAAGTATATTTTCGTGCGGAAGGTGCACTGTCCGGATGTGGTGCACAGTCAATTCGTGCGTTGAAAACCGCGAATCGCAATAACCACACATAAATGGCTGCATTTCATTTTCTGTCGTTTCTAATGTGTGCCACCAAAGCCAAAGAAGCACACGAGCTCTGACGGCTGGCCATGCAGAAAGCAGACGACGAACAGATCACGTGACGTGTTTACTCGACCTTATGCCACGTTACCCACCGAGCGCAGGAGGGGGGCGTGAGTAATTACTCCGAAGTAAACTACCCGCTTCTGGAACAGGGAGTTATCATAATGTACGCTATAGGTTCAACTCGCGCTAGTGTACTGTCGGAAAATGAAGCAGACAGCAACCAGTCGGAAACTGACTTCCGGTAATGCATTTCTATGGGAGAAAAAAAGCGACTGCATTTTCTCTCGGCGCTCGATTATAAGAGCAAATATCACGAATAATTCGTACGTAATAGGTACATAGGAAAATTTCACAGTCACGATGACGACATAATTGGTCAGTTACGGCGTTTTCATTTCAAATTTACGGCATTAAAAACCATGCTAGAACTGCTTCGTCCATGTATGTATGTGAACTGTCGGACACTATTAGCGCGAACACGGCGTCGGCGCTTTCCAGCATGGGGGATATACGTGCCAAATGAACAAATGACATCTGGAAAATCAAGAGAGACGGCAGGAACTACGCAGTAACACTGGATTAGTAAGTCCTCGCGCATGCAGGCAATCAAAGTAAATTGAAGGCCACGTAATACAGTCTTATTTGGAATAAATGAGTCCTTCTTTAATATTTCTGCTTGTGAATATGTGCGAAGATGCTAGTTTTGCGTTGAAAACACCACCCGCACTCTCAAAATCTTTCACAATCGGGAAAAGCCAGAGAACAGGTGCCCGAAAAAAGCTTCCCGGCTTAGGAAATAATAATACAAAAAAAAAAAGAAACCTTTCATAGCCCACTTACTTTATTCCTTGTGTTTTGAGTGTTTCTAACCGCTCGTAAAGACGCACGACGGGGACCTTTTTATAAAGTGACAGGACGTGCGTATTAGCGCCACCAGAATGCTAGCGAACATTGAACAGACTTTACATTCCTGCTGATTGTTATTTTGCTTAGAACCGTCGCTCGCTTTTACAAACCTGCTATAGAACAAAAATTTGGGCCTGAAATATAGCGAGGTTTAACATCGTTCACTCGTAAAGAAAAATGCTCTAACTAAAGCAATCCCACTTTTACAATATTAATAAGGGTACATACTATTTGTACGACCCAGATCACAAAAAAAAAAAAAAAAAAAAAAACTTTATTTATGTTATTATCCAAGAAGTGGCAAAACTTACGCGCGTTTTCCCATAGGAATGCACAGGAGCATTGCAAAAGTAGACTGGTTGCTGTCGGCTTCAGCTTGCATCCCGGAAGTTGCGCAGAAACTAGCGCCAGTTGAACCCCTAGCGTACATAATAACAACTCTATGTTCTTGAACGCGAGTTCTGACGTCATGGAGTAAGCGCGAATAAGTTATGAAACGCCACACTACGAAACCTTAACTCTGGAATCGGATCGGCTAAATTTTGGAACGCATCCCAAATGTACGTACTATCTACGCGAAATGGTCGCTTATAACATTCTCAAAAACTTTTTCTCCTTTTTTTTTCATGCCAGGAAAGGAAGAACGATGCACGAAAGAAATAGGAAATGCCCAGAAATGCCTGGTGTTCCACAGCCAGCCGATATATGGCGCCAGTACGTTCTCTCGTCGTAAGGAACTTTCAAAGGTTTCAAGGAACGCGGTCGTAAGCAGTCGCAAGTGTGTGGACCAGCCTAGAGCCGCTAAATGAGCTACGCCTAGAGTATCGGCACTCCGTTCCCTGATCTGCTAGTGGGCGACGCCGTCGTACTGCTTAGTGCAGAGCACACCCAAAGTGTAAACTTGCACCAAACTTTAAAATAAAAATAAACGTAGTATCTCGTGGGAGTAAACTCAACTGTATGCCGTTAGCAGGCGTCCTACAAAAGTGCGCTGTCTTTTAAGTGCGCGCAGTTATTTGGTGCATTAAGACTAATTCGAAAACTTTCTAATTATTCGTTTAAGGGCCAAGGTGTGTATTGGAAAACTGTAGGAGTGCATCGGGGAATAACGCCCAATTAAGGTGTTTTCTGCGTAATATGTTTTGCGCGCTCTTTTTCATTAACCTAAAAAGGAAACCCGCGAAGTATAAAGAAATACCACGTGAAAACGCGCTTGCAGCACTCTCAGACGTGCTCTGAAGGAACCCCCTTGTCAGTGGCGCACTGTTCGAGATGGGGCTTCTCGTTGGTGTTGGCCCGAAAGAAGCTTCACAAGGTGGGAATGACAAAAAGAAACATTTTGTTTCTTTTCGTCATTCACACGTTGTTAAGCTTCAACAGTCAAAACGTCGCTGAGCGCATTGATATTCTAATCTACCTGGTATCTTGGTATCTTTTTTAGTTGTTTAGAGGTAAAAAAAAAGTGTCCAACGTTTGTGCAACATAGACGAGTGATGCACGTGCGGAGAGAGGAATTTTTAACATAAAACAAAACTAAAATCAATAATTTCAACTTTTTCGGAAACATATGCTCATTGCTCACATATGCTCATTGTTCACAGAAAAATAGGAATTGAATTACAGCAAATTTTACGGCAAAAAAAATATTTGAAGCGTTAAAAAGTTACAATAAAATGTAATTGACTACAAGCAATCCGTTACTTATAACTCGATTGGTACAAATCCGTCTAGGAGGAGTTTAGTTCAGAAAGAAATTCCGTTTTTTGGCTTCATCTTTTAATATAGCTAACGTTCTGTTCTGAAACTTCCGTGCTCTATATGGCCTCCACTAGCGCAACATCCACACAGAGTTTCGGCTTCCTACGACGCGTAGTTTATCATTTCCTCTGCCGAAACTTGTACCGCCAACGGCAATGTGAGCCGGCCCAGTTTAGCTGAGAAGGCTAAACTGACGCGTAGGCGGAGCCCTCGGCATGCTGAGCTGCAGAACGGTCTGTTACACTGCGACAATAAAAAATATGGAAGTGGATTTGAACTTTTTTTTTTTTTCAGAATAGCATAACGCACCCGGGAACCCCTGCGTAGCTTTTATACTTCCCCGGCCTATAACCGCTGGGTCAACTGACAGTGTCGCACACTGTACTTCGCGAAGCGTACGAATGGTGCGCAGCTTTTTCTTTCTTCGAGATGACAACGAGTGTAGTTGTCGTTGTGCCGCAGTATGAGACGTGAAACGTAGTGGCAGACGGCAAACACCGTCTGAAATGTTGACGGAACCTAAAAACGGCCCGTCACCTCCATCAGCCTAGCGACCGACGCGAGGACAACACGAAAACGGTTTCTCCAACACCCCTGTCGGACTGCAAGAAAGACGGCGGCCGAGTTCAGGGAAGAAAAAGAAAAGGTCACTGACCCTGCCGAACTGTTGGAAGTAGTTTTTGACGTCCTCCAGCGTCGTGGGAGCCGAGAGACCGCCGACGAAGACCTTTTTCGTTCGGGTCACCATCTGGAAAACAGTCAAATGGAAAGAGACCGTCAGGCACACGTCGTGAAGAGTAAATGCTCCCGGAAAAAAACACACTATACAAACGCTTCTCCTGTCCCTGACAGGCAGAACGCTCGCACAAGCAATATTTCCGATCTTCTGATGTGAAATGGGCCGTAGAGCAGGCCTCGAAACCCTTTCCACGCCGTACATACGTTCCGAAGCACAGACCTTAGCAACAATGCGAGCGTTATTTCTAAAGGCTGGTCCACAGATTTGCAACGGCTGCGTTCGTATGCTACCGAAACGACCGTAACTACCAAAACACCGCAACAACCGTCACTTGTGGATTGCTTCCCGAAGCTATACTCTTGCATCGCTTGTCACGCTGTGTACGGCGAACAATTGGCCCGGTGATTTCGCCGTCAAGGTCGCTCCGGTTGCCTGCGAACGCGACCAACGCAGATGTCTGAACCAACCTATCGAAAAATACGTTGAAACAGCCACGTGCTAAGAAAACGCTATAAAGCACTATGAACGAAGTTATGCCTGATTTACGTGGTGCAATTTTAATTTCGATTTCAGAATTGAAAACTCGCCCGTGCGGAAAAAAAAAAAAAAAAAGCGAAAGCGTGGTGGAAGCGAAGCTCTAAGTAGCAATGCAGGATCACAAGTAAAAAACTGTCATGTCTATCAGGCTTTACGCGGTTTGTAGAATATTCTTTCTATACTCGGTGAAGGGCTAATAATGCAGAAAAAAAGCTCCGCCTCCAGTACGCGCTCTTCGTCTTCTGCCGGGCTTTAGCAGAACTTGCAACGAAGTGCCACAGAAGAGAGAAAGCCCCCTCTGGAGGCGGATTATCTACCGGGTCCTTAACCTGTCGCCGATTAAAGAATGCAGTTTCGACTGAACTAACCGATTCACACTGCCGTTAAACTTTCTCGCTCGAAATTGGCGGTGACAACGTCCAAAATAGGGCAGCTGCAGCGCAGAGTATTGTTAACGGGAGAGATTGTGAACGGACTGATCGTCTTGCGGACGACAAATTATCTTCAGTCGGTCATTCGCAGTACTCTATAAATAGAACAGAGATGAGACTTAGAACCTTGCATAGACAATGGTGCAGGCACGTAGCCAGGGGGGGGGGGGGGGGGGGGGCCTTGGGGCCCAGAACCCCCTCTCCCCCCCCCCCCTCCCACCCCGAATCAAAATCCTGGCTACATGCCTGCAATGGTGGCACCTCAGCGACCTCGGCGATATTTGTCGCCGCAGAACGGTTACATAATGGTATACGCAACTCACAACAGAAACTTTTTTTAGTGCCTGGGTCGCAGCCCTACGTCACAAAATAAACTCTAAAAAAAATCTAGCGCAATATTTACGTTGTGAGACTCGTTTCGAGTGATGAGCGATTTAGAAACGTCATACTTGTAAACCCTAAGACGAAAAAAAAAAAAAAACCGGACATGAAACACAGGGCTTTAAACGCAGCTGAAATTTATCGATTCAAGCGTACCAATAAATAGACTTTCCAACACAGAAAAGGAAAAGAGAGGCCAATGATACTTAAACAGGAAGCCCAGCCACCTCTCGCCGAATTCAGAAACCTCACTCAAACTTCACTCAAACTGAAGGGCCCCTCCACTTCCTCGAGGAAGGCTCAAGGGCCGGCGCTGGCCAATCGCGACGGCGGATCCGTCCTCGCGGCGGTAAGCCACCGCCAAGGCTAAACACCTGGGCAGGAAATACGGCCTCAACTATCGAACAAAACCCACCTCACGCAAAGGTCAAACCATTTACGGCGAACTCGAAAACACTTTAGCTTTATAAACTGCCAATCATCTTTTTTACAACAATCAGCTTTTAACCGAACAAAAAATAGTACTGCACATCACAAAACAAAACTCTTCCATTCGATTACTTATAATTAGGAATTGTTGGTTCAGAGTTATCACGCACGCCTATACATAAATTATCCTTAATTAGTCTTCTAAACCCATCTTTCTCGTTGAATAGAACTGAAGTTTCATCCAAAAAAAAAAAAAAAAAAGGAACATAGGTCACACAAGTCGACACACTTGGCAAGTTCTGAATTCTGCGACATATTCCTTACATCTCTTTTGCGTTACGTGAGGCGGTAATTGACACAAAGACCCGTCTGTCTAACATGACACAAGCCGAAGTCCAAGAGAACCTTCTGCACCACCTTTGTGACACAGCTCACCGAACGATTTTTATTTTTTACCGGGGTGGGTTTGCTTAACCGGAAGTCTAACCGAAAAACCACGTTGACATCGAATTTCGCACCGAGGGCCATTAAGCAATGGGAGAGATCATGAAATTAAGGAGCCACAGCAATATTTTTCTTTTGGACCTTTTCAATGTGCTGAAAGGCGCCTAGGAGTTGTTCGCGCACACTTAAACTGATCAACTCCAAACTATACCCAGTCGATTTTAGGCTATTGATTTGACTGCCAAGGGCATTTCCAACACACTGAAAACAAGATTTCTTCAGTGCGTTACCAATTGGCGACCTTACTACCCCCAAAATTGCGAGCTTTGAATGAGCACTCGACCTGGACAGAACCCTCCTAGCAGTTTCCTTCCCGTACGAGCAGCAGAGCCCTCCATGATTCAACAGTTAAGTCCAGACACTATAGGCTTCCATTCTTCACCGACCCAGAAGTGAAATTTCAACTCCAATGCAGCATTCAAAATAAATTTGTCAACCTCATTCGCGGAGTGTTCATTCGGAGCACAAATCAAAACCATCATCAACAAACCCTCGGAACCAAGAGGTTATCAACCCCCAAAGAACCAGCGAATTCAGTTATCTTTCTGTCAAGCGTATTCAAATAATACTCCGACAACAATGGGGTCACCGCCGAACCAATGCAAACGCCTTTCCGTTTGATAAAACACTCACATTAAAGTTAACTACAGTTACCTTCAGATAGGACGTCAGAAGTTTCACTAACCCGTCAACCAAGATCACACACCTGCGTTGAGTCCGAGCGAGCGCGAGGGTTGCTATGGCAACAAATAATGTTTGGCTGTACAGAGAGTAATACAAATCCTTTATGTAAAAGGAGATCATAGTGCAACCATTCCGATGCAGAGGCGATATACTCTTAATCGGTTCCTCAGAGTTTCTAAGGGAAATACTCGCTTCCAGACTGACATGTCCCAAACATTCCTGAACGAAAACAGCAAGAACTTTTTTGCCAAGACCCATTTTCGTTAATTACAACACGGAAGGGGAACCCGACCTTATGAACCAGGAACATTAATCCAAAAGAGGACCTTGCCACGCCTTTGATGTCGCAGAATTCGTAGCTTGCTAAGTATGTCGGCTCGTGTAATCTCTCTTCCCCTCTGTAGATGAAACTTCAGTTTTATGCAACGAAAAAAACAAAAAAGAGTTGAGAAGACTAATCAGGGCAACCATGTATAAACGAGCATGGCAACTGATTGAGCCAACCATCCCTAATTATAAGTGATCGGATGGAGGAGTTCTTGCTTTTGTGATGCGTGTGCTTATTTTGGTTGGGTTGAAAGAGGTTCGCTGTAAGAAGAAGATTAGGAATTTAAAATGAGAGGTTTTTCGAGTTCGCCCTAAATGGTTTAATTCTTGCGGGAGGTGGTTTTGTTTGGTAGTTAACGGCTTATTTCCTATCCAGGTGTTGATCCTTCAGAATGGCTTAGTCTGTCTGGTAGAGCTGGGAGAGCTGTCGGTTTATGCATGTTTGGGTCCGTCTTTCCCTTCTTTCTAGTGTAGGAAAGTCTATTTATTGGTATAGGGAAACCAACAAATTTCAGTCGCGTTTGAGAATATATGTTGGTCTATCCATTTTTGTTTTTCGTCATTTCGGGTTTGCAAGTATGTCGTTACCTAACCAGCTCGCCTGCGCTCTCTCGCGTATAACACTTCGAACGTGCTTGTCCTTCGGCGCGTCGACACGAAATAGAAGCACTAAATAAATAGAGGCATGTCCCGCGACTCAAATCCGTTTAGTGACGTAAATCTGGTTCATTTTTATCGCCGAAAAGGGAAAGAGACAGATTTAGTTTTTTTTAAACTATATCTTGCATTTACGACAGATTGTTTTCATGCAACCAGAAATGAAACTACGAAAGAAAAAGAAAAAAAGGTTGGATGAGACACACTTATAGCCTATTCACACGAGCACAAATGTGCCTTTAGTTAAAGGAGCTTATTCTCTGTGGTGAATCAAGTCACGACCCTCCGCGTGTGGAGTGTGCTCGCGACCCTAAAACGCGGGCTGATTCACCGATTGCAAAGAAACCTACGTTAAATGTGTATACCTTTAAGGCTCGGTTATACTCCGACGTTGAGCGCAGCGTAGCGCAGCGTAGCGCAGAACGCGCTCGTTTCATTGGCCGGCGAGCAGGAACTCCATATGTGCGACCAATCAGTATATGTGTACTCTGCGCTACGCCGCGTTACGTTGCGCCTGTTGACGTCACGTTGGAGTATAAACGCACCTTTATGCTGGCCGTTTGAATGGGGTATTATAATCGGGCATCTATACGTCTTTAACAAAGGGTCACCTGATCGGTTGTATCAATAATTATAATAGACTTTTCATTATTCTGTCGTGCCACTAGAACGTCTATGGAGCATTCTTCAGACTGGTTCACACATTTGTGTCGGAGGCGTCCAGAAAAACCAAAACGACAGCAGCGACCGGAACACCCGGAACAAGCGCGACTCACGACTATTTCACGGAGCTGTCTTTTGCATTGTTCGGCACGTTCTCTGGGGCGAACACTTACAACCGGAAACTTTATCATTGCCGCCGTATCGACCGCTCTGACCGCGAGCAACGCAGGTGTCTGATGGACAGGGGCTTTATTTAGTCTGAACCAGGCTTAGAATCCAGAGCAGCGTGCAAATTGGAACCGCCCGACACGCTTGATTGTGCCTTTTTTTTATATATAAAGTAGGCAAAGCATGTTTTGCAGGAACGAGCATTACAGATGGCTACGGTCAGGAACT